TCAGATCCACTCGCAATATATCATCGATTTTTCTCTTCCGAAGGCAATCTACTATTGATTCCTATATAACACATCCGATCGGATAAAGAGATTCAATGAATATTTAGATTTGCATTTTAAATTTAAACCAATTTGTATTTGTATTCAATCGTTGAATATATTAGACATAGATTTATTAGGATATAAATTTACTTACATGTAATGGACAGTTGAGCGTTTGAGCTAATGTTTTGGCATAGATGTCCGTATCTCTGGCTATAGCCCACGGACTGAGCGCCGAACCGCTCATTAGTATCACTCGCGCGAAAAGCCCTGAAATAGAAATGTTTTGTAATTATTTTTGTTGATAAAATTGGGATAAATATTTTGGGCCGTAATATATCACACAAATCGCATAGAAATGTTATTTTATTTGTTATTCAAATTAGAAGTTTAACGCCATTTCACACATAAACGAGACTACCGTTTATCAAGTGTTTGCATAGATTTATGAATGGTTTTAGTTTTATTTAAAAGCATTTATTTGTGAAAATATTAAAATTGATTTATTGTTTGGCAGACAAAAGCCATGAGCGAAAAAGTCAAGTGACGGATATTATTATGTCTACAAATTTCTGTATATTTTGGACGTAAAATAATACATACTGTACAATGTCTGCCGGCTTTGAATATAATGTGAATAGAAATTATGTAAAACCCATATAAACCAAGAATATTTTTATGCATCTGTGTCATTAATAATTTATTTATGCAAATATATTTGTTTTTTAATTTTGGTAAAAAGATGATTGATTTGTTTAATAATTGATTTAATGTTTTGATTTCGAGTTTTAAAAAAAGGATGAGTAAATATTTAAATAATTAATTCAATTTGATGTCAAATATAACATACCATACATATAAATATAACCATTATATAAATTAATAGTACAGATTGAGATTAAATCAAAATCAAAATTGATTTTATGATCAATTATGTACAATTCAAGGTATAATTTAAAACGGTGAAATTATTTTGTCTGCAACTTTTGTGGTTCCGAAGTTAAGATGTACAGTACATTTAGATACTAGTATATCATATATTTTATCAAATGTATTAATTTTTAAGTAATGTTTTATAATTTATTTTATATAATTTTAAAATCAGATAACAGTCTTAATGGGAATAAATGCTTTGATTTAGAGCTAAATAATCCGGCAATTATGAGCTTAAAATAAATTTATACTTAAAATTAATCCAATTGTAAACATACAAAAAACACAAAAAATAGTCTAGACTAGTAATAATTAAATGAAGCATGGTAAATACCTTTAGCCATGGGTGATATCATGAGCAGGTGGGCACAGGCGGCCCCATACCCATAGCCAATGATAGTGACATTATCTGATTGGCCGCCAAACTCAGCGATATTCTCTTGGATCCAGTGAAGAGCCGCCACCTGATCCATGAGACCATAATTGCCTCGAACCACACCGTCCACCAAAACCGGTAGAAAACCTAAGATTACATAGAAATACAATTTATTTTTACAATAATGTCTTATCCAAAGTATTTCTATATAATAAGTTAGTAGAGGTTAACACTCGAGAGCTTGTATACTATTTCTCACACTTTTGTTTAAGAAAAAATAGATTTTCCTATTTATAAAACATGTAAATTAGTGTTTGTAATAAATTAAAATGTTAATTCCGCGCTTTATATTTAATCAGGTGTATTTTAAATGAATTTTTTCACTTCAATAATAATATTACTACAATATAAACATAGAGTTGGTGTACATTAGAGTGCTGTAGGATTTCTCTCTTTCTCTCAGTCTCTCAATACAAATCATATCGTTTTGAGGATTGGTTTGCAGTTTATTAAAGAGTGCGTTCAGTAATGCATGTGATCCTCAAATCAAACACAACAAACACACGGCTAAACAATAGCCTCAATAGACATAACCAGAGCTGTATGTAATATCCATATATATATTTTGTACCGTATATTCAATAATAATCGTATAAATGTTATAATTCTGCGGACATTCAGTCTCTCTCTCTCTCTCTCTCTCTCTCTCTCTCTCTCTCTCGACAGATAACTATCACGTATACAGTGTATAGTGAGTGTAGTAGTAATTTTTGATAATCATTAATATTAATGTTTTTGTCCCTATTATTAGTGATACAACATTATGTGTAACAACAAAAACAATTTGTTGAGTCCCCTCAACATTACTACAGAATATTCTGTATATTTATATATACAGTATATCATTGTATAGTGAATGTGTTGTCGGACACTAGCATTCCTCTCGACAGATAACTATCACGTATACAGTGTATAGTGAGTGTAGTAGTAATTTTTGATAATCATTAATATTAATNCTCTCTCTCTCTCTCTCTCTCTCTCTCTCTCTCTCTATGAGCGACATATTATTATTATCAGTGCCTTTGAGATAAAATACCACTCCTTAGCAGATCATGAGAGAGAGAGAGAGAGAGAGTGATCCGCCACTTCATTTCTGGTGATGACATTAGAGGAATAGATTAATGGCGTTATAAATATTATTTGTGTCACATTTGGCGCACTATTTCATACTTTTGCCCAAAACTATAGGATAGAGAAAGTGCACCAAAAAAGTGGCGGAAACACTACTGTATAGCAAAGCCTTTATTCTGTATTGTCGTTAAAAATTGCATTTTACTCCTATTTCTTATACTTATAGTCAATCTATAAAAATAAAAATTGTGTTTCACATGAAAGTCATGAAATATTATTTGCGAATTAAATTAATATTTTCTAAAGACAAATATCTTTAGACACCAAATACTTATCGCCCGTCCATACAAATTGATGGTTACGTCACACATACTATCATATCTATATCTATGCGATGGCAAAGTGTTATATATACAGATATCAGTATATCTATATATCTGTACATTATATACAATATATATGTGTTTGTGTCTGAGATATAATATTTTTGTGCCACACATTTGTGCCAAAGAGCTATCAGTCCAGAGATGAGTCCAATTTGTAATTTTTGGGATCAATTGTGCGTTGGATTCGCGAAAATTGATTTTCACCATCACTTTCATGGATTGAATCATTAGACCATATATATAGTGCAGAGAGAGAGAGAGAGAGAGAGAGAGAGAGCTACAGAGTAATGCTTAAAAGAACGATGAATTAAGATCTCAGAGATTGTGAATCGCTTTTAATTAATAGACAAAAAACAAGACTAAACTAAATTACTAACAAAAACACTATTCATTAGATATACATTTGTCTTCACTTTTAATTCATTTGCATAACTATTTGCACATAAGATATGGGTTCGGAATTTTAGAGATGATTAAAATGTCTCATTTTTGGTATGAATTCTTGTAATAAATTACATCCTATTTTAAGTTTGAATGAAACAAAAAGAAGTAAAACACAAAAAAGAGAGAATATTTTTTATTTGTTATTAAATTAAGAAAAGCAATGCCTTTAGGAGAGAGTAAAGAATGATAGATAGAAAGAGACATAATGTTAAAGAAAGGATAGATTCAGTGAAATGGGGGAAAACAAAAGTTTATAATAAAACTACTATTTTTGAGAGAGAGAGAGAGAGAGCAAATGGGGGATAGAAATAGTGAAGTAATGTTGATTTTACCCGAATTTAGCGAAATTAATCCAATAAGTCATTAAAGCTTCCGAAAGAGTGACTTCAGCTCTACTATAATTAGTAGCGAAATGTGTCATTGATTTTCCCAATAAGTGGTAGGAAAGGGGGGCACCAAATATGTACGACAGCTCCACGCTATGAGAGCAGCTCTCCTTCACATTCAACTTGTTTGCGACGCTCTCCTCATTCTGTAATTAATTTAATATAACTATAAATATAACCGATATTTCATCATATGTTACGCCGAAAGAGTAGGTAGTGTTAGATATCAAACGATATGTTATTTCTTCTCGTTTACAATCACTTTATATGACTTATAGCTGTGAAAAAGAAATACTAACTAAAAGTCTTATTATATAAGAATAATAGCCAAAGAATCGCACAAAGAATAAAGCGGTTTAAAAATATATATTTAATTTAATACTAATAATAATAGTATATAATCAGTGAACAGTCTATGGTATCCGTAAACTAATCTAAAATTGATTTTCTAAATTTTATTTACACTTTTATTTCATACAAAAAAAACATTTTCACTTCCAATGAATGCGATTGTAAAGTAGATTTCTCTCACAATTTTCAATCACATCCACTATTTTATAACAATTTTCTTTTTGTCTAAATTTTTTCCATTCACTTATAGTCTCCTTAACCACACATTTCTCGTATCAAATGATTTTTATTTCCCGCAAAAAAATAAACCCCAAACCAATCTCTACCACTGATTCTGTGCTTAAAATTCAGTTACTGTTATAGTGTTGGGGAAAAACAAGAGGGATGTTATGCGGAAGTCATATGTCAGTGACCGCACAGGGATGCTATGTGTGTAATACAAACAATATGTGTGAAAGTAATACATTGTTTGACACTAAACGAGGGACGAAAGAGAGGTCCGAAAATTAATTGACACCAAAATACCTGATGAGTGAATATATAGAAAAATGTTTTGCCGGCTCCGGCGGTGGTGTCGGCGGCACCGGCTATCGATGAGGTGAGCGGTGGGCCTGAATGCAAATCACCGGTTTGTATGAGCGGCGAGACTACCAGGGAATCGCTCAGTATGTCTGCCATCGACTCCAGAATATTGATGGGCTGTTCCACAGCTCGCGACCAATCCGTGTACTCATTGATCAGCGTTAGGAATATTGACTGCAATGAAGAAAAACACAGATATATTACATGAAATTGAATTCAATTCATGGCTTTTGTGTGCTCTCTGTCTGTCTCTCTATCGCCTGATAAGAGATTCAATTGTGAATTGATTTGAATTAAGAAATTCGTGAAATATTTTATTCATTTTAGACAATATTCACGTTTTCCTTCACAACACTAGAAGACTGAGAGAATAAGTCTTATTTATGGCACAAATACCAGAAACTTTGCATCCATTATACACTGAATATCAAATGTATAGAATA